CTGACTTTCAAGAGGATACCACTCCTATGGAAGATTAGAATCCTAGACAATAGATTTATTTTTTTAGTTAAAATAAGACCATTGGGGCCGAATTCCACCTAGTGGCCGAACCCCCCTTTGTTTTTGGTTGATTTTGAACAATTTTCCTTTATGTTTTTGGATTATTCGTTGGCGATTTATTTTGGATATTAAGTTTTAATCCTTGAATAAATGAAATTATTTTGAATTGATATTTGTTTTTATAAACTTCTATGCATGTGACCAATTCAAATTAATTTTTCATTCTAGGTATGACTAGTGGGAAAGTTAGTTATCTGGCAGATAGTGCAACCACGCACACTGTTTTGTATGAACACATCTATTTCACTAACTTCATACCTAAGAATGCACCTCTGACAACCTTCTCAGGCCCATCCAACCTGATAGAAAGATACGGTAAGGCACGTATAATGTTGTCTAATGGTACAATCTTGACCATTGCTGAGGCACTCTATTCTCCACGTTCTGAAAGAACGTTACTCAGTTTCAAAGACATTAGAGATAACAATTACCACGCAGGGACCGCACATGAAATTACACTTTGGCATGATCGTTTGGGACATCCTGGACGAATAATGATGCGCCATATCCTCAAATCTTCACACAGGCATCCACTAACCCGAAGCTTAGGTTCGATCCATCAAATCGCATGTCAAACATGTTCTATGGGAAAGATTATTACTAAGCCTTCTTATGACAAGATTCGTTCGAATCCTCCCATTTTTCTACAAAGGATTTAGGGGGACATTTGTGGACCGATTTAACCTCCTTGCGGACCATTTAGATATTTTATGGTTTTGGTTTATGCTTCCACATGTTGGTCACATGTGTGCTTGTTGTCTACAAGGAACGTTGCATTCTCTAAACCGTTGGCTCAGGTTATCAAGCTCAGGGCTCACCACCCTGATTATCCGATCAAATCTATTCGATTGGATAATGTTGGAGAATTCACATCTAAATCTTTTGATGACTATTACATGTTGGTTGGGGTTGAAGTTGAACATACCCAGAACGGCCTGGCAGAGGCTTTCATTAAGCGTTTACAAATGATTGCTCAATCGTTGGTCATACATACCAAGTTCCCGATCGTTGCTTGGGGCCATGCAATATTGCACGCAGCAAAGTTGGTCCGCCTGAGGCCTGTTGCGACACAACCATTTAGTGCCCTTCAGTTGGTCATTGGATGCGAACCCGACATATCGCATATGCGCGTCTTTGGTTGTACGGTATATGTGCCGATCTCGCCGCCCTTACGTACAAAAATTGGGCCTCAGCAAAGGATGGGAATCTATGTCGGATACGATTCTTCTCCGATTATTCGTTACTTAGAACCTTTGACAGGTGATCTGTTTACCGCTTGTTTCACGGATTGTCACTTCTATGAGATAGTCTTCCCGTCGTTAGGGGGAGATAAGAACGTCAACGTTCCTAATGAACGACGAGAATTATCGTGGACAACTCCCACTTTGTCTCATTTAGATCCCCGCACCGCTCAGTCCGAAGCTAAAGTGCAGTGCATATTAGATCTCCAGATCATAGCTCAGAGCATGCCAGATGCTTTCACCAATCTAACGCGCGTGACAAGATCATATATTCCAGCTACAAATACGCTTGCAAAGATGGATGTACCAAATGTAAAACGGACTGCTCTTCTGGAAGCCCGGGATGCTAATTATGGTGATCCACGTACATTAGCGGCTAGCCAATCATCTGCCCCTACACAAAAGCGTGGCAGACCTCTTGGTTCAAAGGATTCACACCCCTAAAAGAGGAAAACCACGACACAAGGTCCTGAAGAGCCTACCGTGAATCCGACTATCGCTTACTTATTCTACCCAACTCATAAGGAAATTCTAGATTACGGAAGCGTCCTTGAAGAGACGAATCATCCTCCCAAGAATCGTGTGAATCCGACTATCGCTTACTTATTCTACCCAACTCATAAGGAAATTCTAGATTACGGAAGCGTCCTTGAAGAGACGAATCATCCTCCCAAGAATCGTGAGATTTCGGTCTATTATGCTAGCTTAGATGATGTGTGGTGTAGAAATGAGATGATTGTCGACGATGCATTAGCATTTGCAGTAGCTACTGAGATCATGTTGAGCGATGACATTGAACTGCGTTCCGTTGATGAATGTCGACGTAGAGCTGATTGGTCAAACTGGAAACAAGCAATCCAAGTCAAACTCGATTCACTTGCGAAACATAAGGTGTTTGGACCTGTAGTTCCTACTCCTTCACATGTGAAGCTTGTTGGCTACAAATGGGTTTTCGTTCGAAAGCGTAATGAGAAAAATGAGATTGTGCGTTACAAAGCTCGTCTTGTAGCACAAGGTTTCTCGCAACGTCCCGGGATTGACTATGACGAAACTTACTCACCCGTTATGGATGTGATTACTTTTCGCTACCTTATCAGTTTGGTAGTTTCCGAAAAACTGGATATGCAGCTGATGGACATAGTAACTGCGTATCTCTATGGGGATCTTGATACGGAAATTTATATGAAAGTTCCCGAAGGACTTACATTGACTGGTTCAAATATTTCCAAACCCCGAAACACGCTCTCAATTCAGCTAAGGCGTTCACTATACGGTTTGAAACAATCCAGAAGAATGTGGTATAACTGTCTGAGTGAGTATTTGACTAGTCAGGGATATGTGAACAACGAACTATGCCCTTGTGTGTTTATTAAGAAATCACATTCCAAATTTGCGATTGTTGCAATATATGTCGATGACATGAATCTCATCGGAACTCCTGAAGAGCTCACGAGAACTGTTTCGCACCTGAAGTCGGAATTTTAGATGAAAGATCTAGGTAAGACTCGATACTGTCTCGGTCTCGAGATAGAGCCTTGTTCGGATGGAATCCTAGTACATCAATCGAACTACACCCAGAAGGTGTTGCGCCATTTTAATGAGGATAAAGCGAAGTTTTCGAGTACTCCTATGGTCGTTCATACGCTAGATGCAAAACGAGATCATTTCCGTCCGAAGGAGGATGATGAAGAGATTTTGGAGCCTGAAGTTCTTTATCTAAGTGCGATAGACGCTTTATTGTACTTAGCTCAATGCACTAGACCCGACATCTCCTTCGCTGTTAATCTTTTGGCAAGATATAGCAATGCACCAACACGCAGACACTGGACTGGCGTGAAAGACATATTCCGTTACCTTAAGGGTACTACGGATTTGGGCTTGTTCTATCCCTACGAATCCTATAGTGATGCCGCACCCTATACTCATCGAGTTGATTCTCGCCTTGTTGGTTATGTCGACGCTAGATACTTATCTGATCCGCACAAGGCGCGTTCTCAAAAGGGTTATGTCTTTACCGTTTGAGGCACCGCAATCTCTTGGAGGTCAACTAAACATACCTTAGTTGCCACTTCGTCTAACCATGCTGAAATTCTCGCCTTACATGAAGCAACTTGAGAATGCTTTTGGTTGAGAGCAAAGTGGGCCATATTCGAAGCTCCTGCGATCTTCATCCCGCCATTAATGCCCCGACGACAATTTTTTAGGACAACGCAGCTTGCATCGAACAACTTAAGAAGGGTTACATCAAAGGAGACAACACCAAGCACATTGTGCCGAAGTTTTTCTTTACACATCAACAACACGAGCATCAGAAGATTGAAGTCACGCAAATCTGTTTACAAAGCAATCTGGCCGACGTCTTCACCAAATCACTGCCGAAGGCGACGTTTCAGAAGCTTGTTCATGGAATTGGTATGCATAAACTTTCTGAGTTGTAACTTTGCTATTTCTCTTTAGAATTATGTCAAACTCAAGGGGAGTATCCTGTAGATACTTGCTTGATCTTAATGTACTCTTTTTCCCTACGATTAGGAACATTTTTCCCAATGGGTTTTTGCTACCTAACTAGGTTTTAACGAGGCAACCACCTTGGGTTGGTCATATCCCTAATGACGTCCTGTAGACGTTTCTTTTGACTTTGCATTTCTCATACATTTTTCCTTAGATTATGGATTTTGTCCCTACTCGGGTTTTTGCCATAGCCTTAGGGTTTTTTTATTGAGACTTACTACTTATGCAAGTTCCTACCTTATTGAGAATAAGCGTTGTTCCTTGGAATCAGTGCTGACGAGTCGACTTCCTCAACTTCTGCATAATGCTGAATCTACCTTGAGTATTTACACACTCAAGGGGGAGTGTTGTGAACATTCCTAGTTTAAGTATGATTGTGTAAATCCTAGATTAGATTTGATTATAGTTATCATTTCATATTACAACTTGTATTACTTGGAGAAGAAGGAATATCTTCTCTCCCTTTACTACTATAAATAAAGGCACAATGTAGGAGGGATAACAACACACATTCCCCTACAATTCTACAAACACACATCTCTCTTCCCTCTTTCCTGTGCCGCCAGCCCCTCTCCCTTTGTCAGATAAAAATAGACCACAACACCAGGTACATTCTAACACCATAGAAAATGTAAAATCCTATTTGTCATTTTGGTTTTAGAAAACAGTTCTTCAAAAATCACTTTGCAAAACGTAATCGGACAATAATATGAGAGCCCAAAGAATGCGTGAAAACAAATGTTAGCCCGATGTTAGGTATTCAAGCCCAAGGGAAGAGCCCAACCCAAAAGACTAGTCCAATAGGTGGGAGGACCCCAAGGACTTAAGAACCCCTACACTTCCATAAGTGTAGTCAATGTGGGATCATAACATTACACCACCCTTCGGAAGACCCGACGCCCACGGCGGTAATCACGTTGCCCAGTCCCTCGTCACCAAGTCCCTTGGAGCCAAGGCGGTAATCACGAGGCGGCACGTCACGTCACCAAGACCCGCAACATCGGGCACCTAGGCTCTGATACCAATGTTAGGTACTCAAGCCCAAGGGAAGAGCCCAACCCAAAAGACTAGTCCAATAGGTGGGAGGATCCAAGGACTTAAGAACTCTACACCCCATAAGTGTAGTCGATGTGGGATCATAACACCCGAACGGATATAAAGCCCAAATCGGACATAAAACCCCATTCGAGGAGCCGAAAACCAAGGAACCGTCGTCCACCCAGAATTCGAAACAGAGACAGTTCCGATAGCAGAGCAGCCGTGACCCGCAAGCACAACATAAACGTTGGTGAGTCCAATTATCCATCGTTCTTCCATTTGTTTTCATTCTCCTGAATCGAATCAAAACTTTGAAAAATAAACAAAACCCTAGCCCTTTTTCAATTTTTGTCGGGAGAGGGGTAGGGTTCGGATTAGGGTTAGGGTTTGGGGTGCCTATAAGTTGCTTTACTTAACTGATGTTGGTACCGTCAGGTGGTATTCATCATGGATTCAAACTTAGATTTGGGTGATGCAAATACAGCATTTCGCAAACCTTCAACTGATACAGCCAACCGGAAGTATCGCCGCCGTTCTCCGCTTAGCAGCTCATCTCCCTCTAATGGTTAGTTTTCCAATTTTTGGTTCATTTTCACAAGTTCAGCAGTCACAGGCGTTCTTATCTTCTAAGAAGGTTCAGTAGAATTGACAATTTGACTTACAATTCATGTCACAAGCATAGGGCTCATTTTATATCGTTTGATTATTTGGTTTTTGTTTTCCCTGTTTGTTAGAGAAATTGGGGAAGTTATATGGGAATTACTTGTTGAGGAATAAAAGTCGAGGAGGGAGCGTGGTGGGAGGAGGAGGAGGAGGAGGAGGAGGAGGAGGGAGAAATGAAGGAGAATATTCCAAAACAAAAACTAGAAAAGGAAACCTACATGTATGTTTGATAACCATTTCATTTTTAGTTTTGAGTTTTCAATTTTAGTGATTGATATATGGGGAATATGAGGGATGAAAAAAAATCTTGAAAATGAAAATAATATAAAATAGTTTTGGTTGGTTTTTAGTTTTCATTTTGGGTACCTTTTGAAGGAGGAGCCAAGTTAAAAGTTCAATAAATCAGTTTCTTATGTAATAAATGCAGTTTCACATGTAGTCCGCAAGTTTATTGTCTTTGAGTCTCTTCATGTTGGAACTTTTCAGATTCATGTACCATTTAGCCTATAAAAAGGGCTACTTTGTAAGCTTTTAAATTAAGCTTTCGTGAAAAGAAATTCTAGATTTTCTGCTTGTGTATGAGGCACAGAAACCTTGGAGTGAGTCCAACGCACCTTCAATGTGAGGCTGAAAGCCGGTGTGATGCCGGAATTTTTCTAAATGCTCTATTGTTGTGATTCCACCTTTGGTGTGATGCCAAATATTGGAGTGAGTTTGGATATCTTCTTACATTTCTTTCTATTCCTACTGTCCTACATCACCTTTCCTTGTACATTTCTTCTACATCCCTCCCATCATCATCAGTCCTCCACTCTTCAACATCCCTCATATGTCTCATGTATTTGCCCTACATGAATGAAAACTAAACATGAATGCAAAATGAAAACTGAAAAACAGACAAACCAAATAGTTATTAATTGGGTTAGTAATCTGGGATGCTTTATGTAGTGGGGGCGTATCAATTAATTAATTTATTTCTTGTTCTTATGTTTGATGAAGTTTATGCAGATTGAGGTATTCTGGTGGCTCAGAGGTGGAATGATTTTGTGTTTTTTCTTTTTTGTGGTCAAAATCATGGCAAGAGATCTGCATGTGATGTCTTGTTAACCAAATTTCCATTATACTTGCTGGCCTTTTGCAAAGTTTTATATTTTATTTTGTTTTTCAGGGAGTCCTGTGCATGAGCATAGTTCTAGCCCAAAAATTTCACAGGAAGATCCTGTAAAAGTCTCTGAATATCGAACAAGAAGGAATGAAGATGAAAGGAAATTTGAGAGGGATTCAAACAGGAGCTGTTATGGAAAAAGCAGTGATTCCTACAGGAATTCTGATACACAATCGTCCAAAACTTCACATGGTTACCATAGGCATGATGACTACATCAAACATGACAAACATGGTGATGAAGAAGAAAGAAATTATCAGAAGATAACTTCTCGTCTTGGTAGGGAGACAAGGGGTAGTGCTCATTCTGATCATACTAGGTCAAAAGACTATTTGCGTCCTTCGGACAAATCTTCTCGTGATAAATATGATGGTTCAGTATATAGGACCAAGGATAAAGATAGAGAATCTTCGTTTCCTCACCAGAAATATAAAGATAAGGACTCATCATCTGAGAAAGTTGGATATGGCAGGAGACATGGATATTTTGAAGAGATGGACAAGGAACGGGGTAGGCATACATTGGACAGAAAAGCTCCGGATGAAAACAGGGATTACCGTAGGAGTTCTGGAGATTATAGAAGTGAACGGATTTTCTCCTATGAAGAGTCCAAGGGGCAAAGAAGTGACTCAATTTCCAGGAGAGATGAAGGTAAACATTGTGTGAAAGAAGGTTACAAGAGTGAATTAAAGGAAATGGATGATGAAAACCATTCCAGAGAACAAAGGAAGAGATATGATGAGAGGGATAATAAAGTGAGGAGCCGAAATACTAGAGAACCAACAGAGCGGTCTGCAGATGATATTTCAAGGAGTGAAAATCAAGAATCTACTGCAAAAAGACCAAAGTTATTCAGCTCCGAGAAGAACACTGATGGCCGAAAAGATGGTAATGGTTTATTTAATGTTTCTATGTTTAATTTTATTCCTTAAAAAGTTTTAAGTATATTCTCTAATAAATTTACTCTTTGATTAGTTTCTAAGTTCACAACTACAGCTGATGGAAAGGGGACTTCAAATTCTAAACCAAGTCAAGAAGGTATTGGGAAAACCATGTCCAGTGATGCAGAAGCTGCTAATGATATAAATGTCGCCAAATCTGCTGCAATGAAAGCTGCTGAAGTAGGTATGTGCCTTTCTTCAATATTGCATCCACAGGATAACTTTTGGCATGAAACGGTATATTGGCGGTATGATTGGAATGAGGATCCTCTCCTAATCCTCCAATCACGGCCGTTCATCGTACATCGTGCGGCCGGTTTTCGTCAGGTACTGTTTATATTCAATTTTAAATAAAAAATTTACAATGATTTTTGACCGCACGATGTACGATGAATGGACATGATTGGAGGATCCTGGGGATCCTCACGAAAAGGATCTGGAGAGGATCCTCATTCGTACGATTGTTCTATTCTATATACTGATACCAATATATATTATATTCACAAACACACACACACAGAGCATAGGGGTTTTAGTATGTTCTTAAAGGAGCTAGCATAAGTGGTTAATCTTAGGGTGTTAGATCTCTTTTAAAATAGAATTAAGCACGTAAAAGTGAAACTGTTTAATCTTGTAGACTATGTACTTATTTCATTATCTTATTTAAACTCCTTACTAGCACCGATAATATATACATGACTCGTTTGGCTATGTTGGACTGAACTGACTAATTCATTCAGATAGACTAATTAGCAGTTGGATAGTTTTGACTATATTGTCTAGCATTTGGTGCCCCAGATTAAAGACATTATTATATACTGTGTTTGGTGCTGTATTATATAAGAGGTCTTCAGACTGTAATTTTAGAGAAATTATAGTATCTTGTTTGTTTATCAATTATTTGCATAATAAAAGGGGGAAAAATATCTATTTAAGTCATCAATTCCAAATTTTATTACATATAATAATCAACATCCCAACATGATGTATTCTACTGTATTTGGGAATAATAGCAGAGACTGTTAAATTGAGTTTTTTTTTGGCTGTTTTGATACTCATGGTATTACACTTGTGGTCTAGAGTGCTTAAGTTGCCTCCGTCCACATGTTAAAATATAACGGCGACAATTTAGTACATAAGTGTACTAATATGGCATGCAAAACGTGGCCATAGAGTGTTAATGAGGGCTTACGTTGAGGTCTTGAATTTCAGAAAGTAGATTAGATAGGAATTGTTGAGATGCATTCTCATCCATTTTTAATTACCACATATTGCTTTGACAATTGGGATGCAATTCCTCTAAATAACAGCAACCCCACCTTCATTAAAAGAAATTCAAATAATCATTATTTTCCCTTTAGGATGGATATGCATGTCGATTGTGTGGCTAAGAGTATTCAAAAGTCAAGCTTGTTAATAAGCCAGTGGATACGGACTTGGAAGTATTCGATGCAATTACTCTAAATAACATCAAGCCCACCTTCATTAAAAGAAATTCAAATAATCATTACGTTCCCTTTAGGATGGATATGACATGCATGTCGATTGTGTGGCTAAGAGTATTCAAAAGTCAAGCTTGTTAATAAGTCAGTGGATACGGACTTGAAGTATTTAAGTATCAGAGTATCAGATCTTGGTTCAGTAATGTGCATTGAAACTGAACCAATATGTAGGATACAGACTTGTCGTATACTCGTTGATAATTATTTCTCTCAAGTCAGCTGTTTGATATTATCCAGTCATGAAACAAAACACGTGGGGGTAACCTGAATTTTGTATGCACCTATCCTACTCATAGTGAAATGGAAATTCATATTGTTCATGTGCTCGCAAATCTGGTAAAATTTGTAACTTGGAATGGGTTCGTAGATATTTGATATAGTGTCTAGCTAGAAATTTAAGCTGGCCCATCTTGATTGATTAGAAATCTTCTTGTGTATCATACTTCTGTATTGACTTGACTTTCTGAATAGTTAAAAGTAATATAGATTCCACGACTTCAACCTCTCTGGCTAATTGTTTAAAAATCTGTTTGCTACATTCTACAGTTAATAGGAACCTTGTCAGTGTTGGTCCTGCGGGATGCATGACCGCTGACCAGAAGAAAAAGCTGTTGTGGGGAAACAAAAAGAACACGACTGCAGAAGAGGTACCTCCTATGGTCTATTATTTTCAGTGTCCCCGAATAACATCTCCAAAGTTAAGTTCCAGCATTCAAGCTTATTCGTATCAATAACCATTTCAATGTGTTTTGCATGTGAAACGTATCCATACGAAGGTAGGTTAGTGCAATAATAGGGTAATTAATGAAGCATCAACAACAGGAAAAGTATTTGAAGTCCTCGTTGAGAAAAACTGCCATTTACATTAAAAGTTTCTTACGAGTGTAGACCTTTAATGGATTTTGGTTTATATAGCTGTTGGATTTAGCTTCTCTTTGTGTAATTTGTTAGTTGCCCTTTTTACATTTTTACAGGCTGGTCACCGTTGGGATACAGCATTGTTTTCCGACCGGGAAAGACAAGAAAAGTTCAACAAACTCATGGTAAATCTCTTTTGACTTTTCTTCTTTTTCTTTTCGTGTCAATAAATTAATAGTATGAAACCTTTCTTTTCTTGTTCCTGATTGAGTGGCTTACACACTATAGAGTTTATTTGCCTACTAACACAATTTTAGAGTCTGAGGTTGCCTTGGTGCCTATGGCCAATTGTAGGGTGTGAAGAGCGAAGTAAAGGTGGAAAACAAACCCGAAACCGAAGATCAGAAGCAGAAGGAACTCCAACTGGATTTGGAGAAGCAGTACACTGCTGGATTGCGAAGGAGAGATGGCCGTACTGTTGGATTAGGTCTTTAAGCGTCCTCACATTTTTAACTACAACAAAGACATCGGTATATTGTGTTGTACTCTTGCACAAGAGTCATGCTGCTTATGATTCTATACTGGCGCATGTGAGAGGTAATATACTTTTCTTGGAGTTTTAGATCTTGGCCGGGAAATGGTCACACGTGGCTATTTAACAGTGTAAAGTTAGAAAATTCGATTGCTATATGCTTGGTATGAACGTAAGCTTCCTATCCCTACCGTCTTCCCACCTTATGAATTTATATTGTGCTTGTATGGTCTGATTTACTCGTTTTCCAGCAATCTATGTTAGTATGCGCGACTGCAAGTTCGACCCTTAGTCCATAAAACTTATCTTACTACGGTCAGTCACTCGTGTGAACGAGTAAATTAAAACCTAGGTGCACTTGTGCCAGTAGCAGACCCATATGCATCAACTGTCAGAAATTGCACACGGGACCTTTTAGCACCCAAAATTACTACTTTTGGCAGCAAGTTTGATGGTTGAGGGCCCAAACTCTAGTCAAATGGAGATTTGTACCTAGGACTTGGACCCTTACGGCTAACGTCTTTCAATGTTCTCGAGCAAAAGCTCTTGGACATAAGACCTCTTTTGCACACGGTATACCATTAATAATACTGGATCGGTTGTTTGGTGCACCTTAATTAGGTCTAACATGTCTTATACACGCTTCACGCATGCCAACTAATACTCTCCAAAAGCTTGGTACAACTTGGGGTGGAATGTTTTGCTAAACTACCATAGCAATCGAATTACCAATCGTATTATATTAAAGTTGTGTCAAAAAATTGTATCGTACCATATATTTTCGGTACGGTAATGGTATTCAAAACCATTACTGATGGTATACCATACTGTGCCAATATTATTAATGTGGTATTATTTATTTATTCATTTTAATATATAATTAGGTATTTGTACTATTATTATTATTATTAGTATTATTATATTATGCACCATATTTTTTTCCTAGTCATTTATACAAAACCATCCACTCATCTTCTGACCCTTGCTTTCCCGATAATAAAACCTAAGCTTCTTGCCATCGCGACTTCATCTTTTCTCTCATCTTGCTGTCAACTTCATCTTCGTTTCTCTCATTCTGGCAACTCTCTCTCTCTCTCTCTCTCTCTCTCTCTCTCTCTCTGTAGTCCATCTCATCTTCTCCTTCATCAGATTGGGTTGTCTTTCTCCCCGGCTTCATCTATCAAGTTAATTTTTTTGTACAATTTTAAAGAATGTAGAGATGGAGTCTAGTAATCTCTGTACTCCTATTTTTTTAGGGATGTTGGGTTCTTTTAACAATTCTTCCATCTATTTACTCCTTTTTCTTAAATGAATCTCTATAAATTCTCTGTAATTAAATAAAAAAGTTTTAGAAACCCGAGAGAGTGGTCAAAAACACGTTTGGGCCTTGAATTGGGTTGGAAAAAAAAATCAAATTTTAGCCCAAAAGAGTGGCCGAAAACAAAGTGGTAATTACCATTGTCATACTATACCAGCAATACTATTTGGCATGCCAAAATTTGGTATACCAAAAATTTGGTACTGCAATAGCATGCCACAGTTTCACTCTCGCTGTTTCTCCGTTCTGTCTCACAAATATGCTCGTGCGTGAGATGGTTTGCGAACTCATGATCAAGGTACATGATTTTGTACCAGAGGCAAGGACTTGATAGATGCTATAACCTCTCGGCACATGATAATTTTAGGTGCAATGAAAAGTACAAGTTGTTGAGGTCGCTTGGTGTGGTGTGGTGGGGTGGGCAACCAGCTATTGCCTAAAGGTAGGTAAGTTGAAAACGAGGGATGGGGAGTTTTTTTTTTTTAGCCTTTTAGTCAAAATGATCTATGAAATTTGCATAACTTATCATTTTGGTTTCTGAGTTTTAAAACCAATAGAAGTGGGTCATGAGTTTGTCTATCATCAATCATTTTGGTCATTTCTAAAATTATGTTAAATAAGAATCAAATAACAAAAATATTCTCAATTTAATAAACAATTAACCAAAATGATTTGACAAAAATTCAGGGTTTTGTTGTCATTTTATCCTTATTTAAAGGAGATTTTTAAGGAAGAACCAAAATGATTAATGGTGGACAAACTTAAAGACCACTTCTATTGATTTCAAATCTTATGAACCAAAGTGAAGAGTTATGCAAACCTCAAAGACTATTTTGTTTAAAAAGCTTTCTTTCTTGGGCCAATGGAAATATAATATGAAAGAAAATTGAGAGACGAGACAGAATTAAAAATTGGATTTGATTTTGTGGTGCTCCTTGGTTAAATCGCCTTCCAATTACTAATATAAATATTCTTATATCTATAATTTCTATATGGTCATGATTATTATGGGAACAATACATGGCTACTCAAAACTTTTAGTGTTTTAATCACAAAGTTTTGTGCTTATCATCAGAATCGTTTAAACTATGAATCACATTGTAAAGATCATAATTACAAAAAATAAATTAAAACTAAGGTTGTTTGTACCATACTTGACCAATCCCGAAACTACCGAGCACCGGTTAACGTTATACTGTCAAGGACTCAGAAGAGTTTCCCTCCAACCAGGAGGCCAATCACAGCGCGACACATGTCGACATCAGAAGCCAATCATAGCGCGACACGTGTCAATATCAAAAGCCAATCACAACACGACATGTGTCAATGTCAAAACAAAGCTAGAAACTCTTCTATAAAAGGAGATCATTCTTCCACAATATTTCCTATTGTCATTTGTATTAAATCATTCATTAGTACTCACTAAAGGAGAGCTTGAACCTATGTACTTGTGTAAACCCTTTACAATTAATGAGAACTCCTCTACTCCGTGGACGTAGTCAATTTGGGTGAACCACATACATCTTGTGTTTGCTTTCCTGTTTCTATCTATTTACATACTTATCCACACTAGTGACCGGAGCAATCTAGCGAGGGTCATAAACTTGACACTTTCTGTTGTACTAAAGTCCTCGCTGATTTTGTGCATCAACAAAGGTCGTTTAATCAATCTATTGTATCAAATACATAGACGGTAAGTAATGCCTTTACCAATACCGTTCATTTATTTTTAAATAGTTTGATGACTAAATGACCTTAGTTTTAATTGATTTTTTTGTAGAGGCGATGTTTATAGGGTGATTTATAATATGAACGGTTCTGATTATAAATATAAAGTTTTATAAATTTACAACGAACAATTTTGAGAAATTTTGAGCAGGAGTTCCTACTCATCTTTGAGTAGCCAAGTACTGTTCTTATTATGATACTTGTATAGTTGTACGACATTCTTCTTTCTCTCTTCCAATTTAGAAGAGAAGAAATTTGGATCATATTTGGATCCTCGCTTCCCATCCGTTTATTGTACATCATGTTGCCACAAATCATTTTGAATTTTTTATTTAAAAATAAATACAAACAGTCCCTAACGATTTATGATAGTAAATTTATGATGAACAGATAGAATGTAAAGATCTATAGGATCCTCACAAAGACAATTCCAAAAGTTTTCGAAATATCATTTAAAAATCACGAAAGTATCTATAGGATCCATACAAACAGTCCCTACTTTTGCAACTGTTTGTATGATTCATACATGAACTGCTAACTCTTCACTAAAATTGCCAAAACACACCTTCGGAGTCAAACTTCTTCCTCATTTGGCGCTCTGCACCACATGTAGCCCACGTAGAAACAAGCCATTGGCTAACCCCATAACAAATGGGGCAACTCTACCTTCCTCCAACTTAGTTCCCGCTCCCTCAGGAACATGTGTCAAAACCACAACAATGACCTTAAGAGTATCACATCAACTAAAAGAAGGTCGTTCGCTTCTCCATGTAATTGTTATTTATTAATCTGAAAATATCACGTGTCACCTTTAAATAGTCTTGGGTAACTTAATCATTGGAGGTTCTTCAGCAGTTTGAAAATTATTCTTTTCTTTCTTCTGCGATGTTGAGTTGTTTAGTTGCTGTTTGTTTGTTTATGTGTTTTTTTTTTTTTTTGTGTGGAGTGTATACTTGAAACATTGAGGACAATGTTTGATTTAAGTATGAGGGGGGTAAACAAGTGTTTTTATTGCAAATTCGTGGGGCTTTATCACCTAGGACTACTAGAGTTGTTTCTCACTGTTTTTAAGTGTTTTTAGAGTATTTCGGAGTGTTTTATTGTGTCTTTGATAGAAAATACGAAAATTTGAAAAAAAAACTAGAAAATGTTTTGAAAAACCCAAAAAGAGTTGTTTTAAAGTTGTTTTTTTTTTTTGTGTTTGTGTCTTAGGATACCTTCCAACACAATGATGAGGATTTGTTTTTTGAATTTTCGTATTTCCTTTTAAAGCCACATAAAGACACATCAAAACATACTAAAAACACTCAAAAACAATGAAAAACAACATTTGAAATGTTAGGTGGTAAAATCCTACGAATTTGCAATAAAAACACTTGTTTACCCGGCGGAGTCTTATCTGGGATAGGCAACGATTATGAAGGGTGGGTAACCGTGGTTATTTATCCGTAACCGTTTATATTCATATCCGTATAACCGTTTACTCATTGAGTAATTGCATAAATGGTTATACCCATAACCATTTATAAACAGTTATCCATACTCATAATTATGTACCCATTTACCCATTTAACCATAACCATTTACCCGTTCCGCTTTTGAACCCGTATATCTTTTTTTTTTTTACCCATTTACCCTTTTTTTTTCACCCATCTACATGTTTTTCTAACGACTTGAAAATTACAAAATTAAAATTTGTCATAATTTTTGTTTTTTGACAATTAAATACCGTTATAGGTACATTTTAACATGCATTTCCTTATTTTAATTATTTAAGTCTTCATACAATTCCAATAAATTGAAATAATAGTTTATAAACGATATTTTTCTGCTACACCCAAGCAAGTCCTTTAATTATAATTCATATGATTACAAAGTAAAGCTTCTAAAAACAAAAAGTAGTCATTATTTTGAATACTAGATGATTCAAAGCTCCAAAATATTCCGAAACTAAACACTTTCGAACACATTCAATGACAAAATATCATTGACTTATTATAACGGCGGGTAATACTCGTATAACCGTATAACCTATCAGTAAATGTTTTGATGTATTAAAAGCCATATAAAAAAAAAATCACGGACTGAATTAAAAGCCCAACTAACAGTAAATGTTTTTTTTCCAAATTTACCCCTGATAGAACCTAACCAAGCCCGTACACTGTCTT